AAACCATGTTTTGATTACAGTCTTTAGCACTTCGAAAGTGGGCATGTGATTGTTGGGTAAAATCAGCAGGATAAATAAAATATGGCTTTTAACTTAAGTTTTGGGGTTTACATTTCTACTTGATTTAAGCATGAGATTCTTGATTAGCGTAGTGTGAAGTCGTTTAAACCATCGAGAATTTCCCATCACCATGAAGAACGGATTTAAAAAAGCTGACCTTAATTAGATATTCACCAACTTCTCACTAAGAAAATGGCTCATCTAAACAGCCGAATAATGGCATAAATAATTCTCCTGCTAAATCCAAGCTTTTCGACTCGCATTCAAGACCTCAAAAGGAAATGACCGGCTTCCCTACCAAAAATGCAAAGAGGGCAATAGACAATTTTGTCGTAAAACAACGATCAAAAATGGGGATAGTCGTTCACATAGAAGGCAAATCTGAAAGGTCAAACCTTCCCAGGCAGAGAGAGATTCTACTAACGCAGTAGCGGCCAATTTTGGCTGCTAGGTAACCTTTCGCTCTGACCACTGATACAAACCCAGAAGCAATATTTTACCTGTATGGGCTTTCGGGCTCACAAACGATGCCTATTTGTATCCAAAAGTTATGAGATCAAAAACACTTTTAGTCTCGGCATTTTAGGAACACCAATCGTTGGACTTCCAATACAATAAATAGTAAAAATCAGTCTATACAAGGACTATTTAAAGCCTTCTAGAAAAGTCATAGGGTAAAATTTTTTGAGGTCAATAACAGACAGAAATTTTACGCTGAAGTTGATCTTTAATTATTCAATTAGAATGAGGTGAAGGAATTCAAACAAGTGATTAAGTGAATTCTTGAGCGTTAGTAACATGCTGCTTCTAGGCTCAAGAAGAAAAGAAATATTTGTTTGAAAATTCCCAAGCACTATTTTGTAGAACAGTGTCAATCAAAAAAATTACATAAAGAAATGCATAATTCCTGAAAGTAATAGATAGAGGGGCTAAGTTTAGCCACCCGTCTTTCTAGGTACATCTCATTTTCATCAGATAGGTGAGCTGATATTTTTTTAATTAAAAAAGAACAACTAGAAAGAAAAAACCAAGTAGCAAGCAGACTAGGAAAGCCGTCTTTTGAGGGTAGGTAAGTGAGAGTCCTGTAGAGATAGTCTGGGCTCCACTGGGGTGCCTAAGGTGATGCCTTTGACCCCACGACCGCGGAAAACGAGGTGGGGGGCCTGTCGGGCTCGAGCCTCCTGAATGCAGTGCCGTCCATCCAGTAAGAGGATATAACCCGGTTGGCAGACGCACTCGTAGCCGCCGTAGCGGTTGATGCATATACCAAAGTCGGGGTCGCAAGGTGCAAGGGTGACGCACTCGTCAATGTCCTGACTGCAGTCGGAACCCTCGAAGCCGCGCGGACAGGAACACTGATTGTTGCCACGGCAGACACCACCATTTTTGCAGGGGCTAATGCAATCGTTGGATGGATCTGCCACCTATTTATTTCACCAAACAAAACCATCAAACTGGCCTGAGTAAGGTATGTTTGCGCGATAAAATTGGGGTAGACAAGCTAAAAAATTAAAATCTAAAGTGAAAATGTCTTCAAGAAGTTTGATGCATTTGTGCGATTCCGAAAATATCTCCCCTTTTTATAATAATCTTGAGGTCACTCCTTCATCTACAATTAATCGTACCTTGTGAATCAAAGTAGTGTTCAGAGGATACATTTTCTCATAGTAGTAAATGGAAACGAAGCCCGTGAGACCGACTACGATGTTTTCAAGCAAGAAGTGTTACCATTTTGTTGAGGTTTCCAAACTCCTGGTTCCAAACGATAAGCAGCCTATGCATGCAAACTACATAAAAGATGTCGGTTATGTAGGCGTAATCAGCTTTGAAAGTGTTCAAATATCAATTCTTGCGAAATCCATGACTAAACACTGAAGTAAGCCTGAAAAGCCAGTGATATGAGTGACATTGCTAAAATGGTTTTCTGGCATTCGCTTCATTGAAAACTTATACATGTACTAGTTTGAGAACGCAATAGTGTTAGGCACACAAGCCTGATAAGCATTGCTATAATATAAATGAGATTAGCAGAGTAGGTGAGTGCACAGCCAAATACCGTGCTCTGATTAGCTGTTGAAGAACGATGATGCTGAAGTAGTTTGGTAAGTCCACTGTTTGTAGGCGATATTTGGAAGATAAGTCCTACATATGGAAAGAAGTTGGTGAACTGCTTCAGTTCCTAAAGGATTCATCAATCGACGCTGATCTACTTCAACTTCATTTCTACTTCTACACTCCGCATGGACGGAACACAACTCTTTGCATTTGACCACAACGTGGCTTAGTCATTCAGCAGACTTACAACACAGGTTCTCTTGTCAGACATTAGTGTGTATCCGGATGGGCAGATGCATTCGTAAGAGCCGTAGAGGTTTCTGCAGCCGTGAGCACAGCCATGGACGTAAGCAGGCATCGCGCACTCATCGATGTCCACATCACAGCGGGGCCCTTGAAAGCCGGTGGGACAAATACACCTGCCCCGAAAGCACTGTGCCTTGCCCATACAGGGCGGATCGCAGGCCTCTGAAGGACTGCATGTCCTACCATCAGGATTCAGTTCGTAGCCTTTGTGACAGCCGCAGAAGTAGCTCCCATCCTACAACAAGCGTATGTACGTTAAAGCAGGCATGCCAAATGAAAAATAGAAAGGTGAATACAGTAACAAATTCTATTAATAAAAGTCAAGAACACTTGAAACGGGAAAATGTGCAAACAACACCCGAAGTCATTGGTTGTAAGAGAGTTTTCTTCCCAGATCATTGCGAAATTCCAGTTACTTTTTTTATTTCCTCGACCAAGGGAAGCAGAAAAACATTCAACCAATATGTAGATATTGAAACTTGCATTGTATGGGATCCAAAGGATAGTGTCCCTCACCTCAGTCTTAGATCATACAAACCGGGTCAGCCTCCGGGACTGATAGTACAGCATTCGATTGACTATCATGATGTCAAGAGAAGGATATTAAGCAAAGGCGGAGTGCCCGATTCTAGCAATTAGTTGCGCTGGTCAAGATGGCTGAAGAAGGCACCACAGTGAAAAGATGCTACCAATCATTCACCGATGTTTCGGCACACATTCCACGCCTGACTATGAAAGTTAAATTGGCTATTGTAGGTGTTTCTACCAACTGAGAAGAAATAGTTTGTTTCGAAATATTTACATCGGAACTATTATGTGACACGTATTCTGTTAAATCTGACCGGGAGTTTTGACTTAAATTTTGCTT